TATTCTATCCTATCGTATTATTCTATTCTAATTCTAATTCTATTCTAATTCTATTCTACTCTACTCTAAAGGGAAGAGATGCTGTCTCAGGAATCAATAAGAGAGGAAGGAGCCCACAGACACTTAACGGTCAGAGGAAGAAACTTATGCAGGACCAACCCTAATGGATCAAGCTATTAAAAGAGGCAGCGGGAAGTCTGTACCTTCAGACACACAGGTACAGGTAGTCCTCGACTTATGACAATGGAGCCTCAAATTTCCATTGCTAAGCAAGGCAGTCGTTAAGTTTTGCCCTATTTCGTGACCTTTTTTGGCCTTGGTTGTTAAGCAAGTCATTGCAGTGGTTCATGTTAGCTGTTCAGTGAATCAATCAGTTAAGTTAATGTGGCTTCCTCAAGGACTCTGTCAGAATTTGGCTGGGAAGGTCAGAAATGGTGATCACATGACCCCGGGACAGGGCAACAGTCATATATATACTTGCCAGTTGCCAAGTGCCCGAATTTTGATCACATGACCAAGGGGAATCGTGGAAGGGTCGTGTGAAAAACAGTCCTAAGTCACATTTTTTAACGTTGTTTTAAACTAGAACAGTCCCTAAATGAATGCAATGTACAATAACAGTAGGATATGCTCATCTAGTCTTGTTTTCTGTCTGGTTTACGCTGACCAAAGTCCGGCATAGATGATAAGGACTAAATACCATATTTTCTTCAAGAGACGCGTCACCTTAATACGGCGACTTTATAGGCAAATTAAGAACACCAAAGCATCAGCTACTTTCAGCTGCGGGACTCCCTGGGCTTGTTCAGCATTTTCAGTCATTTTAAGAGAGTTTACCTGAAATGCAAATTCAGCTCTTTGGGTTAATTAGTTACCTGAGGCATAGTGCATACCTGTTCAGGAAGTTAGGCACATTGCATATGAATGCAACGAATGTGTTAGGCAGGGTTTCTCAACCGTGTCGATTTTAAAAATTGGGTGGACTTCAACTCCCAGAATTCCCCAACCAGCCATGCTGGCTGGGGAATTCTGGGAGTTGAAGTCCACCTGTCTTCAAGTTAGCAAGGTTGAGAACACTGCCATAAACATTGTAAGGTGTGTTTTGAACATCTAAGATCATTCACAACGGGCTACCAGGGAAAATCCCTTACCTGTATACCTGCCATGAAGGACGCAGACACTCACAAAATACCTATTGAATAAAATTCCCTCAATTCCCTCTCCGTATTTCCTACTTGGGAAATCTTTTATTTTTTTTTTCTTTTTACAACCTGTAATCCCTTGCTTCAGGGTGGGGTCAGGACAATTAAGTGGAGTTGAGTGTTTGCTGACTGCCCTTCCTGACGCCTACGTGGAGTTCACAGCAAATATTTTCTTTTTGCACCCTGACAAAGAAATGTCTGTCGCTGCCTAGAATTGAACTCTCAACCTTCTGAGTGGGAGGCGAGTGTCTTCACTTCCAAGCCACCATGCTGCTCTTGGGAAATCTTTAGCTAACCTAAGCAAATCTTGCAAATAAAAATGATGCTGCATGTTAGGTGTTTTGCAGGATAGCAGTTTCCTATCCTCTTGTAAAACAAATGAAGCAGGGAAGATGATTGACAGCTGGGCCCTACAGTATTAGAGCTCCGGATCCCTCTATGTCCCAGTGTTTACCTTCTGCCTGGAGAATTCTGGGAGTTGAAGTCCACATATCCAAAAGCTGGCAAGGTTGAGATATACCGGTCTATCTTAGATAGAATTCTTTATTGGCCAAGTGTTGTTGGACACACAAGAAATTTGTCTTGGTGCAAATACTCTCATCTTATCTAATTATGAAGCGGCTCATGTAAGTGCTTAAATACAAAATAAATTGTTTAGGGGCACAGGAAAGTGGAAAAGATAAGCCTAAATGTTTAGTGTAATGCTTATATTTTTATCCCATCTTTATTGCTTTTACAAATAATAAAGGTTGGCAAACGTACATTAATACTTTCTTTCTTTCTCCTGTTTTCCTCACAACAACCCTGTGAGGTGGGTTGGGTTGAAAGGGAATGATTGGCCCAGATTTCATGCCTAAGGCGGGACTAGAACTCAGAGTCTCCTGGTGATTGGCCCAAAGTCACCCAGCCGGCTTTCATACCTAATCCAGGAGTAGACCTTATCATGGTGATTGGCCCATTTCGCTGGCTTTCAAGTCTAAGGCGGGATTAGAACTCCCTCTTCCCTGGTTTCTAGCCAGGTACCTTAACCACTAGACCAAACTGGCTCAACCACATCGAGCAAGATTGCCCGAGATTGCGCAAGCACCCAAAGAGCGGTTGGAAGGCCCTCTTTTACCTTGGCCAGCTCTGCCCGGAGTTCTTCTTCCTCGGCTTCGGTGAGACCGTTGTAGGGCAAGGTCCTTGATGGAGCAGCCATGGCGGCGGCACTGGGATTGTCCACGGGCACGTCGGTCATGGAGTCGGACAGGAGACCTTTGTTGGGAGAGTTAAGGTTGATGTCTGTCATGGACAAGAAGCAAAGGGAGGGAGGGAGCGGACAGGCAGAGAAAAAGCAAGCGGGTTAGTCGAGCAGAGGATGCCCGTACAGGGAAGAGAGAGAGAGGAGGTTAGCGGCAGGGGCCCCTGTCCTTCGAGAAACTCGCAAGCAGCTACCCACAAGTCACACACACCATAAACCCGCTTCAACAGTAAAGATGGGGTATTTGCTTTCACTCGCAGTACTGCTTCTGGTTTTGATCACAATATAAAAAAAGAGGTCGAGACTCTGGAAAGAGGGCAGAGAAGAGCAACAAAGAGGATTAGGGGACAGGAGGCTAAAACATACAATGAACGGTTGCAGGAATTGGGCAGGTCTAGTTTAAGGAACAGAAGGACCAGGGGTGACATGATAGCGGTCTTCCAATATATATGGGGCTGCTGCAAAGAATTGGGTGGGGTGGGGGTGTCAAGCTATTCTCCAAAGCACCAGAAGCAATGAATGGAAGCCCCAGAGGACACAGGGCAAGAAACAATGGATGGAAACGAATCAAGGAGAGAAGCAACCCGGAATTGAAATTTCCTGACAGTGAGGACCAATGGAACTGCTTGCCACCAGTAATTGTGGGTGCTCCAACACTGGAGGTTTTTAAGAAGAGATTGGACAACCCATTTGTCTGAAATTGTATAGGGTTTCCTACTTTAGCCGGGGGGGGGGGGGGTTGGACTAGAAGACCTCCAAAGTCCCTTCTGACTCTGTTATTCAACATGGGGGATGAGAGATTTCCTTTAGCCGAGACTGTGGTCGTGATTTATTCTGTGGGCTACGCAGCACAGCCTGGACCCACGTGTATGTTTAAAAGCAATCCAAAACAAAACACACAGTGCCAGGTTGTATACCAGTCAGGAAGATGTAGTGAGTGGGGTCCGCGGTGCTCTCTGAGCTTGTTTTCTTGCAGGCGTTTCATTACCAAACTAGGTATCATCATCAGTGCTAGAAGGGTGTGGGGTTTCGCTATTGTTTCTATACAAGATGTTTGCCCTGCCTGTTTTGGTGGGAGGGTTCTTGGTGCTTCCTTAATTAAACTATTCTTTGATTGCTTATCTGAGCTAGTACTGCAGGTCCTTAGTTGAAGAATTGTTTGCTGCAGGAACCGGGTACCTAACTGAGCTATGAAACTTGTTTGCAAGGAAACAAACAACTCAGGGAACAGCAAAGACCTGACAGTTCAACCCTGGGGCACAAATATATATGTTTTTGTAAAACTTATTGGCTGCCCAATAAATAAAAATTATATATATATTTTTCCTATTGGAGAGAATAGTAAGTGACACCAGGCTATACCTGCCTGATAGGTGTTTGCCTTTCCATGCATCATAATTCAGGCTTACACATGGACATGAAAGAAGGTACAACAGGATATACAGAGTCCTCCACTTACAACAGTTCTTTAGTGACCGTTTAAAGTTACAACAGCGCTGAAAAATGTGACCTATGCCCGTTTGCCACCCTTACGGCCACTGAATCCCCTGGGTCACATGATCAAAATTCAGACGCTTGGCAATTGGTTCGTATTGATGACCGGCTGGGGAATTGTGGGAGTTGAAGCCCATGTACCTTAAACGTGCCAAAGTTGAGAAATACTGGCCTGACTGACTATCAAGAGCAAATAAAAAGATTTTTCTAAACTTCTGGACTCTCAAGACGGTTACTATCTCCCTAATATAGAGACTCTTCATAGAGAGGCGGGCAGAGAACAGCTGCACATTCAAGATACACAAGAACACGGAAACACCCACACACCTTCTAAAAAGCACAGCTGCAGCTGGAACAGGGGACAAGTGTCAACCTTAGGAGGCCTTTAGAAAACAACTCAAAAACTTATGTGAAACGGAGGCCTATTGTCTGGCAATTTCGCATTGTGTGCTTTAACTAGGGGACCTAGAATACTTCAAGGGGATCACACATATAGTCCTCAACATATGACCAGAAATGAGCCCAAAATTGGTGCTGCTAAGCAAGGCAATTCTTAAGTGCCTCATTTTACAACCTTTTTTTGCTTTGTCGTTAAGGGAATCACTGCAGCTATTAAACGAATCTGTCCCCGTCCCCCCACCCAATTATTTTTTGCTTGTCTGAAGATGCTGGCTGGGAGATTCTGGGATTTGAAGTCCATCCATTTTAAACTGGTTGAAAAAAAAAACCACAGCTCTAAATTATCCATTATTTTTCCTTTTTTTTTTAGTAAGAGAAGGAGCACATTGCCTTCCCTGTCCTTGTTCTCTTTGAGTAAAAAATAACTTTTAAAGAAATAAAGCAAGGAAGCAATTCAGCAAAAAAAACAGGAGACGTTTCCCCCTTTGGCGTATATGGAGGAAGAGATATTGATACTGACTGCATAGTTGAACTGGGTTGCAAGGTGTACCCCACTGTTCCTTCAAAATTTGGGTGAAGCCAGATAGGATTTGTCAAAAGGACTGAGGTCTGAATCAGGCGTCACTTCACTTTCATTGACAAATTGAAAGAGGATGTAGCATAGTTTTTGGCTTGGACCCTTTCCTTTTTTTAAAAAAAGGTTCAGAAGCTCTGATTTAAAGCAGTGTGAATATCCCTATTGGGTAACGGATAGGTAAAATAAACACTTTTACCCACTTTGGGGTCATTTAATCTCCATGCTGAATGTGCCTTAAAACAGTGTTTCTCAACTTTAAGATGGGTGGACTTCAACTCCCAGACTTCTGCAGCTTGGGCAATTCTGGGAGTTGGAAGTCAAACCATCTTCAACTTGCCAAGTTTGAAAAAAAGACAGCTCTAAACCATCAAAGCTAATCTGGCAAATAACTGGGGGGAAAACAGACCCTCCGAGAGATTAAAGCTGCAGAAATTGACCCTTCTCCCAGGATTGCAACCTCCCGCAGCCCCAAACCAAACTCAGCTTCCCCTCCTTCCAGGCAGGCCTTCCTAACCCTTAGTAAACCTTGAGTTCAGACTCCCTCCCGCATCCAAGGCCATCCTGGCCCAGCCAAACCTGCCCTACCAGCTGCTCCTAATCCAAAAGCCTCCTCCAGGTCTAGGTTTCCATCCCGAAGCTTCTCCAGTGCTCCATGCCTGGGCTTTGAAGGAGGGTAGGGGTCAAACAAGCCCTGCCCCCCACTTCTTCTTGCAACAGCTGGGGGCCCAGTTCTGGGATTCACTTCCCACAATCTTCCCACAAAGGACTGCGAGAAGGGCTGTCCCCAAAGGCTACAGAAAGCAAAATAAACATAAAATAATAAAAAAGTAAGAGTAAAAGAATAAAATAAATTAATAAAAGTAAAAGAATTTTTAAAAATGAAATAAATAATAAAAGAAAAGAAAAGAAAAGTAAAAGAATAAAGAATAAAATTGTACAATAAATCAATAAAAGCGAAAGAATAAAGTAAACTAAACAATAAAATAAAATAAAAGTAAAAGAATAAAAAGTAAAGAATAAGTAAAAGAATAAAGAATAAAACAGTACAATAAATCAATAAAAGCAAAAGAATAAAGTAAACTAAACAATAAAATAAAATAAAAAAGTAAAAGTAAATAAAATAAAAGAATAAAATAAAAGTAAAAGACTAAACAGGGAATAAATAATAAATAATAAAATAAAGTAAAAGAATAAAAAGTAAATAAAATAAAAGAATAAAATTAAACATAAAATAATAAAAAGCAAATAATAAATTAATAAGATTAAACGTAAAAGAATGAAAAGCAAATAAATACTAAATACTAAAATAAAAGTAAAAGAATAAAAAGTAAATAAAAAATAAAGTAAAAGTAAAATAATAAAAAAGTAAATAAAAAATAAAGTAAAAGTAAATAAAAGAGCAAAATAATAAAAAAATAACGAAAATTAAAATAAAATAATAAAATGATATAATAAAGACCCCTTCCCCACTTCCTGCAGGGTCCTCATTCTCCCCCCC